GTATATATATATATATTTGACAAGAAAAATTCCATCTATAGTAAGGGTGGAAATTTGATTCCATAAGGTTGAAAAAAATGGCCATGGTTAGACATTAGAACCAACAAACGTAAATAGCTTTAGAGACCCAAAACCCACATTTTTAACCAAAGTGGCATACTTCCTCTCAAAAATATCTTTTTAAGTCTTTCTCTCCTATTGCAATTTCCTTTAATAATGAGTGCAGACTTACCCACTCATTTACCCAGATAGAAGCATGTCAGTCACTATGGATTCCCTACTCTCTCTCTCACTCATGTTGAACGAACCACTAATTTCTCCTAAGTATAAATCAAGTCACTTCACTTTTCACCCTCTCAACTATCATTTACTTTGATTCAAACTACCATTCTATTTTAAGTAAATTGCTATCATAGCATCCTAAATGATACACTTATGTATTTTCTTACCCACCTCCCATCCATTTGCCAGTCACTCAATACATTTTCTTGTGCACCTGCTCTTGCCTGGAACTGTTCTAGTCCCTGGGACACTGAGGTACTGCAGAATCCATGACCTTAAAGGGTTTATAGTTGAGAGAAGGAGATAGAAAATAAGTAAGCAAAATAAAAGTGGCACAATTAATTTCAGCTCTGGATAGGTACTATGGAAAACATAAAAGAATAAAATTGAATAAAAAGATATTGAATAGAGAGTAGTTGGTTGCTTTAGCTACAGTATATAGGAAAATAACTTTGAGGAGGTGACATCTGTTGGACTTGAAAGAAGTGAAGAAGATAGCCACAGAATTTGAAGGGAGAGACACCCCAAACAGATAATGATTTGAGAGGGAGAGATAGCCCAAGAAAAAGGTACAGCATATTAAAAGTTCCTGAGATAATAGCAATTATGACATATTCAAAGATGGTAAAAAGACCAGAATGGCTGGAATATATTTATTGAAAGGGATTGTAGAGACAGATGAGGTCAGAGTGGAAGTCACAGCCAGAACATATAGGTTTTAAGGAATTTTGATTTTGTTCTTTAATTTTAATTTTTATATTCTTCAATTTTTGAACTAGAGAGTTGATGGGCAACTTAAAGAAGTAACCCTAATCTGGTTTACACTTTAGAAAGATTGATCTCACTGCTGCTGTATGGGGTGGAAAATGTGCGAAGGAGGCCTAGCACAGAGTCAAGGAGGTAAGATAGGGAGCTTTTGTAATCAACCAGCAAGAGGTGAAACTCTTTCAAGGTGGTACTATTAGAGATAGAGGGAAGTTACTGAATCCTGTCTGTGTTTTGGTGGCAGAACAGAAAGGACTCATTGATGTGTTTGATGTAGAATATTAAAGAAAGAAAAGAAAGATGACTACTAGGTTTTTGGCTTGAACAAGAGGTAGATGATGTTGCTACTCACTGTGGCAGGAGAACTCTTGAGGAATGCTGGTTTCGAGAGTCAATGATGAAATTGTGCAGTGCTGGCAGTGTTAATTTTGTAATGCCTCTTAGGTACTCAAGTGGAGAAGTTGACTGGTCTTTTATGTATAGGGATTTAGAACTTAGAGGAGAAGTCTTGGCTAGAATATAAATCTGAAAGATACCTATACCTAAATGGTATGGAAAGTCATGGACTTGCAGATATTTACTAGGCGGAGAGTATAGGTAAAGAAAAGTGAAGACCAATGATAGATCTTTATGAAACCCCAACATTTAGAGATCTGGAATGTGTGAAAGAGCCAGCAAACAATACTGAGAAGTAGCAAGTAGGAGAAAAGTAGAAGAAAAGTCAAGTGGGAGCAATGCTACAAACATGGGAGAAGAAGCAATTTTAAAGGAAAGAATGCTCACCATGTCAGATGCTGCTGAGAGGTCAAATAAGATGATGCCTAAGTTTCCCCTGGCTGTTGTAACAAGTTACTACAAACTGGGGGGCTTAACACAACAGAAACTTATTTTCTCACAGAAAGTCTTATTTCACAGAAGTCTGAAATGAAGATGCTGGCAGAACCAAGTTCTCTCCAAAGATCTAGGGGAGAATTTCTTCTATGCCTTTCCCTTAACTTCTGGTGTTTCTGGAAATCACTGGTGTTCTTTGGTTTGTAGACCTATCACTCTAATCTATGCCTCCATTATCACACAATTCTCCTTCTGCACCTGTGTTTCTGTCTTCTGTTTTCATAAAAACACCGATCATATTGGATCCTCCTCCCCAATTGAATATGATCGAATCTTAATTTTATTATACATACAAAAACCTTATTTCCAAATAAGGTCACATTCATAAGTACCAAGGGTTAAACCTTCAACATATCTTTTTTGGACAGCTGGGGGGCATGATTCAACCCACAACAAATGATAAATAGTTTGACATTGTTTTTGGCTAGGTAAATATCATGGTTACATTGGCAAGGGCTGTTTCAGTGATGGGAATGGGTAAATGTCTCATTGGAGTGGGTAGAAAAAAAGAAAAAAGTGTGTAAGATAGGGAGAAACAACTGTTTATTGATTTTTGCACTGTCACTGGAGTAAGGCTTGGAGTCCAAGTAGTTTGTTTTGTTGTGTTTTAATTTTAGATGGATAATATTAACCCATGTTTTATGTTAATAGGAATGATCCAGTAGAGAGAGGGGTATTGATGGTGTAGGAGAAAAAGGAAATGATTGATGAAAAGAAGTCCTTAAAAGGAAGATCGGGTCCAGAACACTAGGGAAGGGTTTGTCTTTGAGAGGGGCAGAAGCCATTTGTAAAGTTATAGCAGGAGGGAAGAAAGATCTATAGGCACACCAGCTAAGTTGGTTGGTGAATTTGAGTTTGGGAAGATGAGACAGCTCTGCTATGAGTGTATCTATTTTTTCTGCATTATTGCTCTGAATGATCTTTAATTACATCATTATGGATTTGTCTTTTCCCTAGAGAAGGCCTCAGATTTAACTTTTATTGAGTATGCTAAAGAGTTAACATTCTATGTTGGATGGGTGGTCACTGATTTTGAAATTGGAATCTTATCAGACTCATAGTTTGCTGACACGAAAATAACATGGTCATTTATTTGGGCCTTTGAATTTGTGGTATTATTGTAATCAGCAGAATACATATCATTATATCAAGAGTGGCATTTAAGGCTTAATTTTCTATTTCCTACTCTAGGCTTAAAGCAGACTCCAAATGGGTTTATAGAAAACTATAAGAGGATACAACATGTTTTAGACAAAGCTAATTATGACGATCACAAGCTTATTTAAAAGCCATTTAGTAAATGGATATGCTTTTTAAAAAGTAGTTCTATAAAGTATACAATATTCATGAGATTTGAATCTATATTAATTTGCTGTCAGCAGAAATTATATGTGAATTTTATGAGGTCTGAACTCTCCAAGGGACATGACTATTTCCTAAGCATTAGTATTTCTCTACATAGTGAGTACAAAATAAATGGAGAATTTCAACCCAGAGGCTCACTTGCTACTCTTTTTGTTTCATTTTAATGAAAGTACACGCTGGAAAAATTATGATATAGTTTTAGAACTGACATAATTGATCTGCATGGCCTAATAAGGCTTGAAGGGCTAATTCCATAGCAATTTTCTTAGGTAATTTTTGTTAAATGCATCTAGGAAATTAGAAAAAGATTGGATTTACTTTCCCACACTCACAACTTTTTATTTTATTGTTAAGTTGGGTGATCCCAGGTTTCAAATGCTATTTGGTGTAATTGAATCTTGTTCTGGGTGTTCTCTTTCTCTCTCTGGTCAACTAATTGCAAAATTGATTTACTAGTTTTCTCCATTTAGGCCTTGAATTTACTCTGCTATAGAGCCTAGAG